CTTTTGCTGGGGTGGTGGCTCGAAGGGCTGCTAAGAACGCGATCGAATGGATCACTGCTCTTGGAAAAGTGGGCGTCGGTGAAGGTGCTAGATGGTACAGGGATAATCTGGCTGGGATCTGAAATTCGTGCTTTCATTTCTCTCTTTGGTTTGGTTGCTGGTCCCCTGTCTTCCTGGCTGAGTCGTTGCTGGTGCGAGTCGGATTGTCGCTGGTGCGCTTATGATGTTACGATGTGGCGTCCCTTTCCTGGGCTGGTGTGGAGTTTGTTTCCCTGCTGTTGCCCAGCCTTTGGCCCTGTTGCGATCGTGCTTGGTTCTTGTATCTGTTCTGCTTGCTGTTTTGACTTTGTTTGGGACAGGGTTTCGGGCTGCACTGCTTGTGCTCCCTCCCTTTTTCCCTTTGTACTCTTTGGGGCTTTTACCCCTTTGCTTCTCTTTTAAATAAATAAATCATCACCCTTATATAAAAAAAAAACTAAAATACTCATTTACTATTTAGCTTAAATTCATTTGTCTATATAATATAAATTTCTGAGTGCAGAACCATTCACCTCACTCTTCTCTCCTCTCAAAATTTCAACTAGTCATCATGTTTTCATCTCAATCTTCTTTGCCAGATGAGCAAGAGTATGTCAAGCTTGAAATGTTTGAACACGAACTCCAAACATAACTCCAACAAATGGAGGATGAAGAACATACACCACTTTCCCGACAAGCTGGCAGTCGAGGATTCACTAGATGTCATAAAAGAAATTGACGATCAAAGCTTGATGAACGATTACTTCGGTCAAAATATGAGGCCAAAATATTACGAGCGATCATTTAGACTTGTTGTCGTTATTTCAATTCTCATGTTTTATAGCCATTAGGATTTAAATTCAGATTTTTTAAATCTTTTTGTCTTCAATTAGTAAAGGAACGGTCAAAATTTCCACAAAATGAATTTTGCTGAAAAAATCACTACAACAAACACACTAAAACACCATAAATTAATTAAAAAACAAAAAATAGCTGCAGCGTTGCATCAGTTATACACCCCTGAGGGGCACGACTGGCGCATCGTTTCAACAGTTGCCTTGCTTTCACATTAAATTGTAGAGCTCACCATTTGCCTCTGTTTTGCGCTCCACCCATTTCATACATATGGTTAGAGAGGCAATCAAACTTATGACTGCCGATATTCAATCGCTTCCGGCCCAGTTAACTCGGTGAATCCCCATTTTGATTGGGTATGAGGTGGGTATGGGTAAAACCACCAAAATGTTTGATGGGTATGGGGGCGGGTATGGATTTAGCCTCTCCCGCCCATACTCATACCCATCCCAACAACAAGAATATTTCTTCACATATAAAAAATATATTATTAAATTATAACCAATCAATAATAGTGAGGGTACCTCAAGAATATATTTAGTAGAAATGTAATTGGGTGACCACCCAAATTAAAACTTAATTCATTTTTCTCAACTCTCCCTTCACTCTTTCATTTCCCCCCTCATGTTTATACGATTATGTTAGTTATTACTTAGTAGATGTATTATAGTAAGATAATAATAATTTGGATTACATTGTATTCTATCTTATGGATTAATGGATATATATTTTAGGATAAAATGCTTTGAACCGTGTTAAGAATGAGTATTTCTTTGTCGACTTCATGATATAATAGGTGCATTTAGTGTTATAATTAAAAAAAATTACATATAAAATTTTAGGTGTTACAATGTTGGATGTACAGGACGGGTATTACCCATGGGCCATGGGTACCGGAAACCCACGGGTATGAGGATGGGTTTGCGAAACCTTTCCCAGCATGAGTACGGGCGGGTATGTATTTAATATTTGAAAACGGGAACAAAAATGGTTTAGACAAACCCGCCACATTACCATCCTTACCTACGTAACCCTTAAAAGTTAAAACCTATCTTCGGAAAGCCATTAGGTGTGGGTTGTGGACAACCTTAGACTTAAATAATATAAAGGGCTAATACCACTAGGAAACCCGAACTATTAACTTTGTGTCATTTGTGTCCTAAAGTATTCGATATGACATTTGTGTCCCAAACTATTTTTCCGTTATGGTTGATCGGCGTTGACCGTTAGTTTTTAACAGAAAGTCTAGTCACCGCTCTGATGTGGCATATGACGTGGAATTTTTATTATTTATTATATTTATTTTCTCATAAAAATGAATAAACTAACAAAAAAAATAAAGAAAAGTTATAAAAAAATTCAGATCTAAAGATCTGCATCTCTGGGGAACAATTTCGGCGACGGTCGATGCGAATCCTAGAACTCAAAATCCAAATCCATTTCTATCCCCAGGACCCACGAAAACCCACTTCCTTCCGCCACAAATCATCGCCATCTCCTCCAAATTTCTAAGCACCAAAACCATTTTCTCACCCGCGACCATCTCACGACCAGAGGAGCCGGAGCCGGCATATCTGAATCGACGTCGCGACCCATTTCCCTTCCCATAATCCATTCTACCTTTCGTTGCTTTTCTTTTCCTTTTCAACCCAAGAATACCGATCTAGTTTTCTCCGGTTGCTCCTCTTCGTCTCCCGGCGACCACGAAGGCCAACACCATCTCGACTCGCAAATCTAAGTCGCTATCGTAGCCGCAGAAGCGTCGCCGTCCCCCGCCGTTCAGCCGCAGTAGCGTTGCCGTCGAGCACCGTTCGAGCCAGACTCCGACAGGAGTACCGAGGCGAAGAAATCCAAGGGTGCAGAGGTGACGACGCGATCCGAGGCGAAGAAATCCAAGGACTTACCCTTACCTTCAACCGCCTCCTTCTTCCTTCCCCAGCAACTCTGCGTTCTTCTACTTTCGCTCTGAATTTACCTTCCAACTATCCTCCTCCACCATCCAATCGCCGCTCAAAAGCTCCCTCCGGCGTAATTCACCTAACATCTTTCTCACTTCCGTTTGCTTCTTCTGAATCTGTTGATTATCAGACTTTCTTACTGGCCGCAACTGAAGCAGAGAATCTGTGGAACCGACGAAGGAAGAGGAGTGTTGATATGCAGGGCGGCAGGAACGAGGGATTCAATTTCGATTTCAATTTTCCCAGATGACTCGAAGAAGAATGAGAGAAAGAGGGAGATGGGTTGAGGAAGGTAGCGATGAGATGGGAAGAGGGATCAGATTTGATTTCCCTAGATGGCTAGAAGAAGAAGAAGAAAGAGGGACTGCATTTGGGGAAGGTGGGAGGCCGGTGGATTAGGAATTTCCTTTACTTGTTTTTTATTTTATTTTTTAGAAATAATATTAATTAATTAAGTTTACATTTTTTTAATTTTTATAACAATATATTATTTTTTTATTTAATTTTTAATTAAAAATATGAGGTGTCATTGACGTGGCATCTACGTGGCTGCCACGTCAACAAAAGTCAATGTTAATGTTGACTTCCGTTTGGTTGACCGTTATCTATAACGGTCAACGAAATCGTCAGGACATAAATGACACACAATTATCTTAGATTGTGACACAATTGTCATATCGAATACTTTAGGACACAAATGACACAAAGTTAATAGTTCAGGTTTCCTAGTGGTATTAGCCCTAATATAAAATGACATAACAAACATACTTCAATAAAAAAAATCATAATTAACTATCTCTCTATAACTCGAGTTATTATTATAGAGTGAAGTTGGCAGACAAAGTCTCTTACTTATGCAGGTCGTATTGAGCTGGTAGGGTCAGTTCTTTATAGCCTGACTCAACTTTGGATGTCGGTTTTTCTTCTACTGAAAACAATTATTAAGGAAGTGGAGAAAATTTGCCCCAATTTTGTTTGGGGTGTGAAAGAAGGGGTCAAGCTTGAAGCAAACGTGGCTTGGCATCATCTTACGTTCCCTAAAAAGGAATGGGGTCTAGGTTTCAGAGATTTATTAAGCTGGAATCAGGCTTGTATGACAAGGCACATTTGGTTGATACTACTGCAAGAAGGATCTAGTTGGGTTGCCTGGATCAACAGGTTCAAGCTTAAGGGCATGAGCTTTTGAACATACACCTGCTCTTCTGGTTCATGAAATTGGCGGAAAATTATGAAGCTTAGACAAAGAGTAGGTCCCTACATCTCTTTCAGGGGAGATGAAGCCTTATTAGATGCCTCTCCTATGCCTCCGTTCTCAATCAAGAGGATCTGGAATCTCTTTCGACTTGTCAGGAGTGCTGTAAGCTGGTGGAAAGTTCTATGGAAAGGGAGGGGCATTCCTAGAAATCGGATCCTAACATGGCTGGTACTGAGAGGTAGTATAAACACTAAGGTGAATATGCATAAATGGGGGGTCACAGGGGATTTGAAGTGTATTTTGTGTGATGATGGTGTTGAAGACAGGGATCATCTCTTTGTGCACTGCCCTGTCTCTAGACAGATTCATGTTTCTCTTTTTGGCAGGGTGCTCTACATTCCCCCTATGTAGAGCTGGGATGATGAGGTGAGATGGACTGTTCCGAAGCTTGGTGTTGTAACAGAAGAAGCAGAAGCGAGAAGAGTCATATGGCAGAGCTGGGTGAGCAATGTCTGGCGAGAACGATGCAGGAGGATGTATGCTGGACAGGTGATCTCCCCTGCTGTGCTACTGAGGATGATTAAATCTGAAGTGGAATGTTTCTTGGGTAGATAAAGGGTTGCAAAATTCTGGGGTGACTTTGATTGCTTGTCTGTCTTAGTGGCTATAATACGTTTTGATTGTGAAGCTTTTTCTTTGGTTTTGATTCACCTAGCTAACAAGGTAGTTGTTAGCAACTTTTCTTTTCATGAAATGAAACCATCGATTTATAAAAAAAAGGGAAAAAAAATAGTAAATGAAGGGATTAGATTGGAAAAAGTGACCCACAAAATGAAGCAATGTAGATTACCTCCCTACCACCCAAGTAATTGTGATTGACCCACGATGAAGCAATTTCAATTATCTCATGTCCAATTGCCTCATTCCTACTTTTTTCACCCAAATGGGATAATTTGACACAATTATCTCACTTTGAGTCGATTGGAGCACATTGACTAATCACTTTAATCCATCCAAAGGACCCCTTAAAGCTAACCAAACAAGTGACTTAGCTCAAGTCATGGCCAAGCCACAGCGCAACTCCAACAACACCTTTACCACAGGCCGAAAACGATTTCAACGCTAATCAACAGATTGATCCAAAAGATACCAAACACAGTTTCTCACTTAAATTGCACTGAAGACAGACAAATATCAATCTTGTTCATCATGATCTTAACCAAGCAAAATTAACAAAATCTTGATGCCTACAGGGATTACATCACTTGGAACCGAAATTAAACTGCTATTACGTAGGTCAACATATCAATCGCCATAGCAAGCTCTGCCAAGAAACCCATCCATGCTCCACCAATTCCACTCAACGGTACTGGTAAGAAAGGGAAACAATTGCCACAATTAGGGTGCAGTAAGATAGACGAAGAATTCAACAGTTAACCAGTTCCTCTTGCTGAGTACAGCAGACAAAACATGAGTAAAAAAGTAAACCATCCATGAAAAATAGAACCAGAAAGATTCAGCCTTTTTACCTTGATGAAGCCAATCTCCTTGGCGTTGCTGCGGAAGCATTGCCTGCAGCACATGAGCCCGTACTTCCTGATGATTGCATGAGGGTTGCCACAGACACGGCTGTCCGAAACATCACCAAGGTACCAGAGTTAGAAAATGGTACATCAAAGCAAATCCACCACCAAACGTTTCCCCCCCAGACAAACAGTTGCAGCATACCAACCCTCAACAGATATGCAACAATGACTAAACAGATTACAACATCCATATATCCATCAGTAATACCCGGATGTTCTTAACGAAAATTGGTGCACAGAGTGGAATGAGGCCTGGCTAAACATACTTTCTAAAACACAGGTTTCTTTGAGGGCTCAGATAGCAGATACTCGATACATATACATAAGCATTGACCATCGGAATCATACTAGGCAATCAAACTAGGTTCCACAAAGCAAATTCGAAGTCTATTTACTTGAGGCTCAACATAGGACATCGTCAATGGGAACCCTAAACCTCAGCAACAAAACCCTAATCGTAGAGCCGACCAAATACAAACGAAGCGGATACGGATCTAGAAACCAGTCGACCATAGACATAAACCGAAACCAGAGAAAACACTCAACGAAGAAAAAGAAATACAGGGGAAAAGAGGACTCACCAAGCCCTCGATCCAGGACCGTAGGTCTTGGGGTGAGAATTCCAGACGTTCTGGTGCCCCATGGTTGCTTTTCTCGGAAGACGACGGCGCCGCTCTGTGTATTAGCTTGGAAGCTCTATGAGAAACGTAAAACCCTAATCCACCGGCGGCAATGAGGTGACAACTTCGCTCCTTTGTTTCATTTATATAGTGAGAGGGTTTAGGTGGGCTTTATGGAATGGAGCCTGGCCCAGTTAGTTTGAAATGTTGAGAAACGCGAGCCCAGGATGTGTCAAAATGTAACTCTCAGCCAAATTCAGGAGCCAGCCTACGCCCAGCTGGTGGTTTGCTCGTGATTATGAACATAAAGCCCACCTAAACCCTCTCACTAATTCAAAGATCTAGGGGAAACTGATTATGAACATTTTTTGAGATTCTGGCTATAGCAAGAGCCAAGGGTTCTTGATCCATAGTTGGGGTCCAAGATACCATGTTGACTCGTATGGAATGGGTAGGGTGAGGTGAGAGTTTGATAACACTCAAATTGTAATGTTTTCAAACTTCTGTATTTGTTACATTACATATTTACATTTCCTTTTTATCAATACACTAGCTTATTACCCGGCCCGTTGGCCGGATTACTGTATGTTACCCACTTGTGGAATGGGAGAGAAAGCAAGTGAGAGTGAAGGGATTGGGATTCCACTTGATTAGGACCGACCAACTAATCCAATTCTTCCCGACCCGCCCCAACCTACAGGGTCAGAAAGAGTCAATAAGAAAATACGAACGGGGAGGATTAGTCATATATCTTGACTCTTCAGAAGTGGGTCAAACAGGATCAAGGTTGGGTGAGGGCAATTTTTAGCGCTAAGCAGAGTTCTGGGTTGAATACCTTTACTTAGGCCTAGAAATTGGTGCTGATGTAGACTGCAGTTTTTATTATACCATCATCAATCATCATTGAATTAGTCCTGGGCATCCCTCCCCGTTGTCGGTCTGAATTCTAATGATGGCTTCATTCATTGCACCAGCCATATAAGCGAGTTGCCATCTCGAGCATGATTTGCCTATGTACAAATAATACAATTAGAGTATGAAAATGAATTCAATGAAAAGGAAAAGAGAATTCTATCACATGCCAATAAATACACACATAATAGTTGAAGCTAAGTGAAAGTCATTACTCGCACATCAATTCTCAAAAATTACAGACTAAACATTGGCTAGGATGGCACTGAAACTACCAAGAATCATGGACGAAACAACTTGTCAAATTAAATAATCCTTATACTGAAACTACCTTCTAACTTGAAATAAGACATGATCACAGTTCATAGCTCTCTTCTCACTATGAATTGGTTGCAGCTCGTCCTTATCACTGCCTCTCAAGCTCAATTCAAACAGAATAGAGACCGTTATGTAAGATAACCATATTCTTACTGATCATAATTCCTTTCTTCACTCCATTTTTGTCGGAGAAAAGAGTTATCCCCCTCTCCTGCATTTCCCTTTCCCCCTCTCTTCTCCCTCTTCTTCACAAACCGATCCCTAAACCAGCAACAACAACACAAAAATAGCCTTCGCCTCTCCCGTCTCCATCTATTGAACGCGTTGGTGGCAAGACCGGACTGCAGAAGCAAAATTTTCTAAAATCAAACTAAATTTTTTGAAGCAGACTCAACCACGAAAAAAGAGTAAAGCAACAATGCAGTAGAACCCTAAATTTAACTACAATCAAGCACATATCAGCAAGATTTTCGATTTGTCTGAGAGTTAACTACACGGAGAGAACAATTGATACATAATTGAAATGCTCCAAGCAAGTTGAAGGCAAACCATAACTTTAGAATTTGGTCATTATAATAACCTTCAAGTATTGATGCTTCACTTGGTCAAAAAAAAAAAGTATTGATGCTTCTAAGAACTATCATGTCCAACCCCCACTTATACAACTACGTAGCCATAGTAATTAGTTGTATAATGAGAAATATTACAAAGAAAACTACATAAACAACCAATGTAAGTAAATATTAAAACTAACAACTGATAAAACTTAAAATCTCTCTATTGGTATAAATGTATCTATTAGTAACTACTATGCAATCGAGTATATATGATTTTTAGGCACTGAATAAGAAAAGTATAGATGGCTCACAAATGAAGACGTAGCAACTGAAGGTAGACGATGTCGACAATAGATATGATTTAGGGTTCTAAAGATTAAAGGTATTTATTTAATTGCATTGATGTCGAAATATTACTTTGAGTTAAACAACCTAGGCATAACATGAAAATAAGAGCCAAACCCATGAACTATATCCCTTCATCATGAATTATTTTGAGTTACACATTAAATAACAATTAAAATAGTGATTTTGGAACATTAATCTTGAGAATTATCTTATGGAAAAAAAATCTTCTGAATTATCATTTTAAATGCTATGTGTCTGTGTGATATTAATAATTTACCTTATTAATATTCTTATATGCTATGTTCTATATGGTACTTAAAATCCTACGATTTTACGATTCGATTATACGATTTTGATTTTACCCCAGTTTTCGATTTTAGGTAAAATCTCGATTTTAACTGCTTTGCCCATCGCAGCCTCTCCAAATCTTCCTATTCTACTCGCCGGGTCATCTCCTCCACTACAAAATATCTCCTCATGTACTCAAAGTTCTCACTGAAACCTAATATCTACAACTTAGGCGCAGAGGGAGCAACCGATGGATTGTAGCGACCCCCACTATTTTGATAGCTAATCAAGAAGAGCGCGTTTGTTTAGTTGTATGGTGATTCACTTAATTAACAATTTTTATTCCGTTGAAAGCCTCCTCTCCGCAATTGTATTGTGTTCACGAAGATCTGAAGGCGCAAGTGCAACAGGTCCAGGGGTAAACAATATGTATAAAGCGTTGGCCAAATTGAATTGAGTCATTCTACTTGGAATATGAAGATTTTTGCTTAATTGCTTTGGTTCGTGATGCAACTATGTTATGTTTGAAGGTAGACCAACGCAAACAACAGCACAGCTCCAGGGCTATTCTGCACATTAGGTAGTTGGGGCATTAATTGATAATTATTTGGGATTATTCCTACAAGTACATAATTTGGAACGTGCCTTTATATTGCACTGATTAATAGTTGTTTGAGATTTTTCAAATGAGTGATTTGACATGTTAAACTCTCTTATTTTTGAAAATGGAGTCTTCGAAGTGGAATATGAAGATTTTGGATTAAGCTTGGTTTCGTAACGCCCTTATGGGTGTTTATTCTCTAAAATTCAGCTGTCTTTCAAAGTGCCCGTTGCAAATGGCAAGTCAGGATACAACGATGGTACCGGTACACGTTTATATCATTAGTAGGTAGCAGATTGTGTCCATTCTACTATATCATTTAGCTAAATACTTAGTTGTTCTTTTCAACTAAAAATTATGCTTAAATGCTGTGATTGGCCTCAGAAATGTATGTCTTTGCATTAACTGTTAATGATTGTGAGTTTTGGTTTAATGGTGAAAAGTCCATTTATTTAGAAGTCTAAATTGGGCAAACCTATTGGACAATAGGAATGACATACATTAGTGTCGTGGGAGGTTTGTTTGATGTCTCAGGGTGTTAGATTTTTAAGAAGGTTGTTTGTTGTGGCAGAGAGTCCCTAAAGCTAGCGAGGTATTCCTATGTGGGCTTTTTCTTTGTTTGACTTTTTCGCACCTTTTTTCTTATCTCTTTTTCTATTTTTGGTTTTTGTGTTAGATTTTCTATTGTTATTTGATGTATTGATTAAATGTATGAATTTGAAAAATACATTGTTTGGAGGTTTACATTGTGTTTTGTTATAAATGCAAAAGTAGAGGGTAGACAATCCCTTGGTCACAATCTCACTTTTTGGTAGAGATTAATAATCACTCATTTTGAGTGATTGTGGGCAGACCAAGAAAAAGATAATATATGTGTTCTGTCACAAAAAACCAAAAAAACGACTTAATCTTGACATTACATACATTGGCTAAATACATCGCTTGAAATCCCAACCTCCAAACGACCCCTTAGTTTGCTTAGCTGTTCATTTCATTTTTAATATTTCAGGCCTCACAAGCCAATTCATCTCTTGTTTTGGTTTGTCCTGGTTTCCTTGTGTTCTTTTTGTTTTTCTGTTCTCTTTGTTTTGGCAGTCACTTCTTGTGATGCCTTTGTAAGACTCTTTTTTCTTCTTAATATATCATCTCGCCCTTATTAAAAAATATTCGATATTATTAATTTGATTTTCGATTACCTTCATAAAAATGAAGACAGTTATGCACAGAAGTATTAATTAGAAAATTCAAAGAATTAGCCTATTGATAAATTGGAAGGACAAATTCACTCGTCAACAATAATCAAAATGATAATAATTAAAAAAGAATTTATCAAATTCTAATTCATTAGTAACTAATATCTATCTACAAAAGTTGTTGTGGTGGCTAAGAGTTTACATTCACGTATTAGAATAGTTCAAGAATATTATAATCACTAAAATCTCATATCTTCTTAGTATTTCTCTTAACTTTTGAATTAAAACACTTCATGTCTCAAGCACACAATCACTTGTTAAGAAAAACATATTTAAAAAAAATCCATGATTATAAAAAATAAACCAATTGGATATTGAAAAATATATAAAGTTTGTTTGAATCATGAATTTCAATGTTGCATTTGGTGTTTAAATCCTAGTGTGGGATTTTTTCCAATTCCGGTAATTTAAGATACAATACATATTCATTTTGTGCATCCACGACCACTCCTCTCAACAAAACAACATGTTCCTCGAAATTAAAAAATCAAAATCGGTAGAACATTCCAAGCAATACATTCGAACGACAAACAAATTTGCTATGGTTGTAGGCGGATTCATTACAATTCTAACTGCCAAATTACATGATCTAGATTTATTTGAAAAGTCAAATCTAATTTTTTTCCAGAGTATTTACATTACAGTACATATTTACAAATCTGGATAGCTGACTAATTTATACACAAATTCATACCTAAGTATCAAGCAGTAGATGATTATCATGAACATTTCATCCATCCGAAGGAACATGTGGAGGATGATCGATAATCTTCTCTTTTATCTTTTGTTCACCTTGTAATCATCTCTTCTATGCTCTTCTTTGCTACATGCATTTGCCCCTCTTCCAGCCTCATTTTCATCTAGAAAAGCAAAAAGAGACCGCCTGCAACTCTAAAGGACGTGCTCACTCCCTGAAATTCTAACTCAATTAATCAATGAAACAAATAAAGAGATTAGATTTATACTAAATATGAAATCCACTTCCACTTCAATATATTTCTCCATCTTAAGCACTCAATCCAGATTCCACCAAACACTCAAAGCTCTAATAGCCCACAAACATAAATATAAGGTGCATGACTCTGCATTGTATTTTTCTATAATATAATTAAGCGATGCTGCTATGTGTTCTAAACACAGCCAGAAAACTAACTTAAGCAAAAAATGAAAAGGGATTTACTCAAGACTCTTGAGTCAAGAGCACCAGAAAACTACTTAAGCGATGCTTCTTTATCTAGAAGAGAGTTAGACCATTAAAGATATGAACAACACAAAAGAAGGCAAACCATCCATCTATTAAATTCACCAAAGGCCATGTTATGATGGATACACTGTTTTACCTCCATCCACGGATGGCGGAGTGGTATCAACTGAACTCTTCTCTGCACATGGAAGAGTCCATTCAGATATGGGGAGTTTATTTCAAGCTAGTGAAGGATCTGCATCACACAAACACTAATTATGCAAGTTATGGTTATGCAACTTAAGTGTGAACAGAAACACTAAAGAATATAGCCTAAATCAACTATTGAGCGAGTACGAAACTTTCCTCGAATTCAGTTATGCAACTTCATCAATTTAGTTCAGCAACTTAATAGTAAATACAAACACACCATTTTGGTGGATTCAGTTCTGCAACTTAATCAAGGAGGGGGAAGTTCTTTGCATGGTACTTTTGGATATTTCCAATTGGAGGTTTAAGCTTAAACTTAGTAGAAGTAACTAAGTTGGCCATTGGGGGATCATTTACATGAAGCCATCTGAAGCTAGAAATAAGTGCAACAACCAAGTAAAATGGCCACTTTGAGGGAACTAACTATCAGTTTGGATTAGTAATAGTAATGAGGCTGAAGAGTGAACTTCATTTGCATAAACGGAAATCCAAGTAATTATTGGTTCATTTGAAAAACAACCACTCCATAAAACACTGAACTCTACAACAGTATGCCCCTACCATCAAACTCTGGAGCGCCAAGGTTTTGGCCTGGTTTTCCCAACTTCTCCAACTGTAAATCTGCATCAGAGCGAAAACTAATAATTTTTTGAATTGGTGATAAATAAAATAGAAATGCCAAGCTTCAGACATTTTTTAACCTTAATCATCGCAAGGGCTCGAGACTGTCATGTGAAGCGAACGATTCATGGCCCTTGTAGCAAGGAGGAGGCCATGGACACACAAACAATCAAACTCAAAACCAACTACAGGTCTGTCTGTATTGATGCAGCAAATGAATAAGAATGCAGAGGAGCTGCTTGTAGCCCAAATCACATACCGGTGGGCAGTTTCCTTCATTGTAATTGGAATCCATCTCATCCTTACAACTGTATTGTTGAAATAATAGTGTGAACCAGAAGCAACCGTAGGCTGAAACGTTGAAGTTGTACTGTTTGGGTCACAAAAGTAGAACCGGTTGTTCAAATATGAAGATTTCACAAATCTTGGCCACCAAAGAGAGCCAATGACCCATGAGAACCGAAATGAGCCCAAACAACATCAGCTCTGCAAGACCGCGTAAAACATAGATAGAAGCACACACAAAACCATACAACTTTTCAACTTATGCAAGAGAACCAAATGTCGTAAACATCTAAAACCTAAGGCAAATTGAATTGTTGGACATAAATATGTCTCCCACATCAGCTATGACGAACCCATGAATTTAACACGCATAACTTTTATTCCAAGAAGCCAGTTGCAACAACTGAAATTCAGAAGAAGCACCGGTCAAACAGCAGGTATGGAGAATCGATTGACAGAGGTGAGCCTTTGGTTTTGAGATAATAAGCTAATTTTGCAAATTGTGAAGAATCGCAAGTTGAAAGACAGAAGAAATGAAAACACAAACCTATCGATTTGGAGTGCAGACCTTGACCAAGCTGTCAATCCACGAAATGAACCTCAAGAACTGTAATCCAAAGTAGAAGTGGTCGAACGAAAGGTATGCAGTAAGTAATGCTGGCAATTACTCCAATAAACTTTTCATAAACTATCAACACCTTTTTTTTTTTTTTTTTTTTTTTGCAGGAATACCATCAGCAAGCTCTAAATCATGGAGTAAGAAAAGAGACTTATCATGATTGGTGGACGAATGTGGAATTCCTTCATATGATCACAACATATGGGTTATTTAGGTTGTGACAATCAAGGTTTCTTGACCCTTCCTCTTGCTCCCTCGAGAAACTTACTCAAAACTCGAGCTCAATGTAGTTGTTTCATGACCTTGGATGGGAGCAGCTACCTCTACAAATCACATCCCTCCCTGAAAACCCCCATATGAAAGAAAGGAAATGATTTGTCTTGCAAAAAGCTTTGAAGATGGTTCACTTTCTGACTATAAAAAGCTTCATAAGTTTCATTTTTACCTGAAGCAGTTTGGGAAAGTCACAAGGCTACTTTAGAACGTGTTTGCCGGCTTAGCGGTCCTGAACTGGCATTTCTCAATGACCCCCTCATCCAATCCCTCACAATTCCAGCATAATAATTCTCCATCGAGAAGATCATTTTCTGTCTATCTCTGTGCAGCAGTGTTGCTACCAAGAACATCGAACCCACAATAGAAGGTAGTTGAATCCAATCAATGAACATGTAAAAACAGAGAAATATGACACAAATTGATCTGCATGATTCTGATATCCTATCTCTCTGTCCATCTAAAGCAAGAATATTGAGTAAAAGTTAGCTCATACTTTTGTCCCTACGGTCCATACATAGTTTAAAATTACATTGACACATACAACTTGATTTCTAATTCTACGGAGTTAGTGAGAGAACCAACCATTTCGTCATAGTAGAGATGCAATAGTGAAGGTCCTCTGCAAGTTGCGAAGGAGCATATGAACCCCGTATGTGCAACAGGTGAAGGTTGAGATGTGTCCATCAAGCAGCAGTTTGTGCTTGATCTGTGAAGGATCTGCGGTGCGTCCGGCAAAAACTTGTATGGTGCTTCTTCGGGGGCATGATGTGGTTCCTGGGAGCAGGGGAAGAAAGGGCCAGACCTATCAAAATCCTAAGCAATTGAAGTGAGACTTGCATCAGGAAGGTTTCTTTAGCAAATTCAGTTGAAAAGTAAGAGCAAACCAGATCATAAAGGAAAACCCAATTGCAATGGGGACTTGATCAAACGACATGCTATCCCCTGCACATCCACCAGAACACAAAGAAGTTCGCTCAACTCGTTCTTAAACTTGATACCATTCTGAAATCCAGACAAGGAAAGGAAAGGCTAAAAGGTAAAACAATTTCAGGTACCTCCAACATCCCATATGCTGAATGAAATCCTGGCATCTTGAACTAACAATGTCTTGTGCATCAAATTCAATCCAGCCATTTCCAGGCTCTCCTTCTCTTGTTCATCCCCAACATACTTGACCTTCAACCATCAGCAAGTACAGAGACCCACACCACAAGAGGAAATTAAACAGCAGGAAGATTAAAGAAATCAGATCACATACCCATTAATAAGCAGCTCTAATCCTCTAACCCTGATTAATCACAATGAAACCTTTCCAGCTCATGCATGACCAATTCAGAAACAATCAAGAAAACCCAGAAACGACCCCCCTCACCCTATTTTATTATACCGAGAAATGCTTACCACGAAGCTCGTTTTCCCGATTTGGCAATCACCCAATAGGCTGATCTTCAGCGGCACCAAATCCGAGTTGGAAGATTCCAACTCGCCGCTTCCACTCTTCGTGCACGCCTCAACGAAAGTCACAGCACCGTAATCGTCGTTGTGGCCGCCGCAAGAAGGGGAAGAGGAGTAAGAGGAAGAAGCAGAAGAAGTAGAAAACGAAGTTGCAGCGCCCGGGCGAGTCAAACGGCGGTACTTGGCGGGCGGCTTACCAATCGAACAGGCGAGAATCCTGTCCCATAAGAACTCGAAGAACCGGCGGAAAATAGAGACGCGTTCAAGGAGCGGCGGAGATTTCCACCTTTTCTCTGCGGCGGAGCGGCGGAGATTTCCAGCTATTCTCTACGGCGAACGGGGGTTCGCCGTTGCAGCGTCGGGATGCAGCTTCGACCAGGGAAGAAAGGCCGACTGGCGGAGCTTTTCCTCTGGTGAGAAAATGAGCGGTTGAGTGCAGCAGGAACTTTGCTGCGATGAGAACAGGAAAGAGGAAGGAGATTTTCAGCCAAAACAAAAAAAAAGTAGTGGACAGTTCTTTATCCCTCCCATTAGGCGGGGGTTTCTAAATTAATGCCGCCTAAAACCCCAAATTAATGCCGCCTAAACACCCTGCCACGTCAGCCTCCTAAAATCACTCTACGGGCAGGAAAATTTGAATGGGGGATGCAGTTATACTTTTCAGCTATAAATTATACTGTTGATCTAGACTTCTAGTTATTTCACCTTTACTAACCGATAGCTGTTTTTTTTTAATCATTTCTCATCCACATTAGTGTCAATTTAACAACAAATTTACAGAAATGATGAGATCATGAAAAAGTTCAACGTTAGAGATCTCTTTAAGAATAAAAAATATAGTTGGGAATTTAGTTGGAACTTCAGTTTAGGGACTACATTTCGTTTCCCGTGCATATTAACGGCCATTTCATGAATAGCTAACGAAAAAGAATAGATCAGAAAAATCTTGGAAGTTATACAAAGTAAAGAACATGCCTCTTGATTTACACTATGCATACCCATTTCCGATTTACATAAAGAAAAGCAAGACAAACGTAACCGCAAAGATTAAAGAAAGTTATACCTGCCTCGAAGAATCACCGAGATTTTGCATTGTTGAATTCGAAAAAAAAGAAAGCATACATTCCCTCATTCTCTGTGTATGCAAATCAGATAAAGGAGTGGAAGCTCCCCTCGGAAAAAGAAAGAAAAAAATACACAGAAATTAGAAATGACCATTAGAAAGCTCCCCTCTATACATAGTACACAACCCATTTCATTCCAACTACGAAACAAAAATCCCTGGGAGAAGAGATGTGCTTCATTATTCTTAATCCACAATTCCACAATTCCGTTCTTATGGAAGAGTTGCTCTTGGTTCTTTCCTGTCAACTCCGAACGACTGTAATTGACATCATCAACAGAAACGCATAAACTCCATGCACATAAAGAGATTTTTCAGATGGTTCATTTCAATTCTAAGGTTGTTTGTTTGCTAACAAGGATATAACCATTTCTATGTAGTCTACACACAATCACGTCTAAGTAACAACAATAGCATACAACATGTTAGGAATGCCAAAAAGAAGTACTTGGCTTAATTACCAGAGCGTTGCACACCCATCTAACTAAAACATCTAAAATCTCCATATTGAGGCACAATCAAAGGAGCTGAAACAAGGACCCAATCAACTCAATGTTTAACTAAGTGAATTTCAACAATGGATGATACGCACAACACCAAACCTTCAATATAAAAGAGTTGTGCTCCTCACGTGGTTAAGAACTAAAGAAAATTACTTTTGCTAAAGCTCTATTAGGGCCTTCTGCAGCTTGCCTAAAATTCCCAAATGTCTCTTTACACACCATCCTCTACATAACAACCAACTTGTTCCGTTGTAATATTCCCACCTTGTCTGTCTACAAAAATTACCCATCCCACCAAGCCACTCTCATCACCCTTCGATGAAGCATCAGAGAAGCAATTTCACTCCATCAGTAGTCCTAAGTCCTTAGATCAATAAGCAGTTTCCAAGTCAGTAATTCATGCCCCAAACTTGCATTCATTTCCAGAAGGTGTTTACTCAACTGGATGAGAACTGCTGCCCGAGCTAGAACTACTAGTCCTTTTCAAAAACCAAAACGCTCTCCTTGATAACATAGTTTCTATACATAACAATGCTTGAATCATCAATCAATTCAACCATCAGCCCTCCTTGATAACATAGAAGCGATGATGGGCGACTTCAATGTTGTCGACGCTATCAGCCCTCTTTGTCCGTTTTACTTGGATGGTGAAGAGATGAGAATAGGTGGCGGTTAGGGTTCGATTGTTTGAGAGTGAGAATAATAAGGGTTGTATTTTCTTCTGTTTGTCGGTTCACAAATGATGCAAATTCATTTTTTTAATATGTAGATGAAAAAAGAGAGAGTTGAGCAGACGAGAACGAAGAGAAGAAGCGAGTGTGCAGCTAGGATTTCTCAGGCCCATCACTTTCCTTTTATACATTCTCTATAAAGACAATTATGTCCCTTGCGTTTTCCCAAATCAACAAACCTACCACCATTCTCCCTTTCGGGCGGGTAGGTGACTGATCGCTAAATTAACCACTAACTGCATTGACAGTTCGCAATTAACTGCTAAGTCATGGCGGTTCGACTAGCGATAATAATTTTTTGGTTGGGAGATAACCGTTAACCACATTATCAATTAACGGTTAACTACTAACAAACCCAACTATTACCTGTAATTAAAATACATTATGCTTTGAGATTTGAGTGTACATCACCCAAATTCATTAAAGATGACAAAAATAGCCATAATCGTACATACTCGTATGAATCTGACCGAATTGGGTGGGTAAATCCAAAACCAAATACGTTTTAGTCCATATGGGTAAAATCCGAATTCAAATATTGCGGGTGATGGGTAGGCATGATTTTCACACTATCAACCCCAACCCGACCAATTATATACGTACATATGTATTTTGTTTAAAATGATCATTATTTTTCTTAACATATTTGATATTTATTATGCACAAATAATATTTTCATGAAATTATATTTTTTAACTAATTTTCTTAATTTTAGTAGTTTATAGTTTTAATTTTCATTTATGTAATGTGAGTATACGTGAAATTGTTAACATGTTAGTTGAAGTTATAAAGAGAAATTATTATTCATGGTTATCCGTGGATACCCCAATCCTAAATGTATATGAGTATTGTTGATGTCGGAGTTGTAGTCGACGTCGAGTTTTTTTTTATGTTGGGCACCAGAGTCTGTCGACGACCACCTTTCACCTCGAACTTCTCTCGTGATGTAAGCTCCGGTCGTCTACTGCAAAAAGGGTCCGTCGGGTGATCTCGGCGGGGACGCTCTTCAATGCTAAAGTTAGCGAGTGTGTTGAGTGGGGAGGAATATTACCTCGAAATGAAAGATGAGGGAATGGTGTTGAGAATGAATATTTGTACTAATCATAGCAAGAGTTCACGAGTCTAGGCATGTGGATTTTTTGCTTACCTCAATATGTAGACGAAGTGACCTTTTATTGAGACCTCCATGCGAACATGAATGGAGTATGTGACTCCCTCGGGAGCTTGGTGGTGTGGAGAGAGGACACGTCGCGGGGTACGTGACTAAAGGTTCTAAGTGACCTGGGGTGGGCGGAGAGCCCAAGGTGGTCAAGGTGACCCGAGTTGGTTGACCACGCGGGTGACCGGAGTGACCTCGGGGTAGCTTGAGTGACCCCGAGGCGGGTTAGGTGACCCGAGGTGATTGACTACGGGGTGGCCGGAGTGATCCTAAGGTGACTCTGGGTGATTGACCCTGGCGGGCTGGAGTGACCCCAAGGTGACCCAGGGTGATTGACCCCGGGTGGTCGGAATGACCTTGGGGTGGGCTCGGTGAGCCAGAGTGATTGACCCCAACGGGCTGGAGTGATCCTAGGGTGATTGATCCCGGGTGGTTGGAGTGACCTCTGAGGCGGGCTAGGTGACCTGAGGTGATTGACCCTGGGGTTGTCAGGGTGACCCCAAGGTGACTCGGGGGTGAGGTTTGTCTCCGTCCAATAAAATAAAATTAATTAGGGTGGGTCAAACCAGTATGATTTTGATATTCTAACCCGTTTATGTACATGCATTGATATAAATAAAACCCAATTTAATTCAAATTAATCAATGAATATGCGATATCTTATCTCCAACCTAATGTTGCCATCCCTTCCACGAGCAGACGACCTCCTTAGTGGCCATCAGGCCATGTAGCTAAACGGCTCGTAGTATTTTTATTTATTTATTTATTTATTTCTGAGTGATATCAAGAGGAAATAGTTATACAAACAAATTTACCCAGGACCCCTTACAATAGAAAAACTAATGAAGCCACCCCAAAAAGTCGAAAGATTCTAGTTCTAGAAGAGACAAAAGCAGTGCTTTACGCGCAACTCTATGGACAACATTGTTTGTGGCTCTAGGGACCGCCCTAAACTCTATACAAATTGACAAAGAATCTAGAATCTGACGACACTCACGAAACACCGGACCACCAATCGAATCTTCTAGAACGCCTTGTCTGACTTATTTAACGACCACTTCAGAATCACCCTCCATTATCACGAGAGATAAGGATCTTGAGGCAACGACGGAGATAGTTCTCTGAGAGCTAGAAAAAGTGAAAAGAAAAGAATACCGACAAGTAGGGGTGTACATGGGTTGGGTGGTCCGGGTTTAGGCATTTTAATCACCCGATCCATCCACTACGGTTTGAGAAATATTAAACCCAAACCCATCCAAAAAAATTTAAACCCTACGGTTTGTTTCTAATTGGATTGAGTCGGGTTGAAGATATTTTTAAGTAAAACCCAACTCAACACAAAATATGTAATTATTCTACACCATAAAAATATTTTATAACTAATTAAAAATTCAAACGAATAAACCGAGGTGAAAGACATCAAAATTCACAAATATTGTTTGAATTTTAATAAAATTTGATTTACTTCAACTTATGTCTAGTTTTTTTCATGAAATTTGTTGAAATATGCTAAAAATGTTATAAATTAACGCAGCCATAATATGTTATTATATTAAAATTGTACACAAGAAAAATGATTACGTGAATCATAGCTATATTAAATTTATGTATAAACTTTAATTCGAAGAATGCATTAGATTATGGAGACCATGAGAGAAAAACATGACGAAATATCTGAATTTTCTCATAAGTATAGCTATATATGTATATGACAAATTTTTTTTTTATACGAACTCATACCAATAATTGAAACACTGGTTGGGTCAGTTTCTACGAGTTGTGTAATCCGAAATCCAAACCCAACTCAAAAGAGGCGGGTTGTAAAAAAAAAAACCTCACCCAACCTAAAATCTTCGTTTTAGCGATAAATACGTGTGGGTTGGGTCGGGTTGGACGGATGGTTCGGTTTGCGGAGTTTGTTCACCCCTACCGGCAAGAGTAAACGGCCCAAAGTATACCGGCAATAGAAGAAAAGAATAAACCCGAAGACTGAAAAAGTGAAAACAATCCGTTAAAGAGGGAAAACACGGCGAGCCTCACTATCCCTCTCTCCCGCCATGAAATCACTCCCTATCCTCTTACCTCTTCAACTTTCTTCTTCACTTTCCCTCCCCTTCATCGTCTCTACTTCATTTCCATACTTCCAACCTCTCTCCCAAACCCTAGCCTTCTGCCGCCCTAGGTTGATCCCCTCGCAATCCTCAAATTCACTCGCTCCACGGCGGCTCCACTCCAAGTCCCCCAACTCTACTTTCCCCGCCGAATCGCAGCTCTACGACGCCGACGACCGAGAAGAAGAGGACGACGATGACGAAGAAGAAGACGACGACGATGATGAGGAAGCTGCCGATGAATACGACTACGACGAGGACGAGGACGACGAAGTTGGGCCAAACGAAGATGAAACCGAAGTATCGATGGCGACGGGAGAGATCTCGGCTTGGCGCGAGGAGACGAAGTTGCAGAGAGTCGAGCGCCTCCGTGCTGTAGTCAAAGAGTTCGGGGATGAGATTATTGACGTTGATGAGCTCGCTTCTATCTATGATTTCCGAATCGACAAATTTCAGGTACATGTAGACGAAATGCCTGCTTTTCTGTGCTCTCTCATAAGTTTAGATTGGAATTCCGGTGCGTAAAACGTTTCGTTCGTGTAGCGGTTAGCTGTAGAAGCGTTCTTGAGGGGCTCCTCGGTCGTGGTCTCTGCTCCTACCAGCAGCGGGAAGACGTTGATAGCTGAAGCAGCTGCGGTGGCTACAGTGGCACGAGGAAGGAGGATATTCTATACCACTCCGCTTAAGGCATTGTCCAATCAGAAGTTCCGCGATTTCCGGTTAGTAATTCGAATGCAAATTTGCTTCGGTCATAGAGGAAATTATGGATGAAACTGGTGAGTAGATGTTTATATGTTGTGGCAATTGATTGATAGGGAGACGTTTGGAGATGACAATGTCGGTCTTCTCACTGGAGATTCTGCTGTCAATAAAGATGCTCAGATTTTGATCATGACTACAGAAATTCTGCGTAATATGCTGTACCAAAGGTATAACTTAGTTCGTGTCTGGATGCTGTAGCATTGATTTAATTTTCCGAATTTCGTAATATTCTTTTGTGCATTGCTCAAGGTGTTGTGTAAATCATGGACTCAGGGTGCTATATCTAATCATGCAGCATTGGGACAGTTTCTTCGGGTAGTGGACTCCTCTTTGTGGACGTGATTGTCCTAGATGAAGTTCATTATCTAAGTGATATATCTCGAGGAACAGTGTGGGAGGAGATTGTAAGTATGTACTCATGTAGTAGGTTTTTTATTGCCAAAAGCTGCAATCCCCGTAGCTTGGTGATTGATTTTGCGGGTGATTATGTCAGGTTATTTACTGCCCTAAGGAGGTTCAGTTGATATGTCTGTCAGCAACTGTAAAGAATCCAGATGAGCTCGCTGGTTGGATACGTGAGGTAAATTTTATATTGTTGAATGTCGCTAACATTTTTGCCAAAACCAAGTTGCACAGTTGTCTCTCAATGACTGTTAAGCTGTAATAAAACTGTGGTGAATCCTGTTAGTTTTGGACCTGATTTGGTGTCTCGATTATTTTCTACGCACTTTTGTTGCTACAGGTGCACGGAGAAACTGAATTGGTGACTTCTGCCAGACGTCCAGTTCCACTAACTTGGCATTTCTCTACAAAGACTTCTCTGCTACCTCTTCTTGATGAGAAAGACAAAGGAAAGCGCATGAACAGGTGGGCTGCAAACATCCTGCTCTATTAACTCACATCTGCTAATGATTCTGTGTCTTTACTAAAGCATTGTTTCTAAATTTGGAACAGGAAATTATCCCTTAATTACTTGCAGCTTTCTGCCCCAGGATCTAGATCATATAAAGATGATGAGTGGCCAAGGAGAAGGAATCCAAGAAAACGTAGAGGTCGAAACGATTATGATAGCAATCTCATGAATCCTGAAGAGTCCCTTTCAAAAAATGATATAAGCAGAATCCGACGCTCATTGGTAAGAACTTCTCTGATCTCATTATAGCATGACTATGCTTTGCTTTAGGGATACGAATTCGTGTTAGAAGGCTTTGACCAGTTGAATAACTTATGTGTGGTTTAGGTCCCTCTTGTCGTTGATACATTAGGTCAGCTCAGGGCGAGAGATATGCTGCCAGCAATCTGGTTCATCTTCAACCGAAGAGGATGTGATGCTTCTGTGAAGTATCTTGAAGGTTGCAAGCTCTTGGATGAATGTGAAACGACTGAGGTTGAACTTGCTCTCAAGAAGTTTACTCTTCAGAATCCTGATGCCGTCCGTGAGACTGCTATCAGAGGACTTCGAAGAGGAATTGCTGCTCATCATGCTGGCTGTCTACCTTTGTGGAAATCATTCATCGAGGAATTGTTCCAGAGAGGACTCATTAAGGTCATCTTTGCTACGGAAACCTTAGCTGCTGGGATCAACATGCCTGCCAGAACAGCTGTCATCTCATCCATCAGTAAGAGGAATGCCAGTGGTCGTATTCAGTTAAGCCCAAATGAGCTGCTTCAAATGGCTGGCCGGGCTGGACGGAGAGGCATTGACGAAAAGGGCAATGTCGTCCTGATTCAAAGCTCCACTGAAGGCGCTGAAGAAGGCTGCAAACTTCTGTTTGCTGGACTAGAACCACTTGTTTCACAGTTCACTGCTTCCTATGGGATGGTTCTGAACTTGCTTGCTGGTTCTAGAGTCACTCGTAGACTGAACGAGTCTGGTGACACAGAGCCTCTCCAGGCAGGGAGAACTTTAGAGGAAGCGAAGAAACTGGTGGAGAGAAGTTTCGGAACGTACATTGGTAGCAACGTCATGGTTGCTTCCAAAGAGGAGCTCTCGAGAATCCAGAAAGAGATTGAGATTTTGACGTCAGAAATTAGCGACGAGGCAGTAGATAGAAGGAGCCGCCAGATCTTACCAGAGTGGGCATATAAAGAAATCGCACTACTTCAGGAACAGCTGAGAGAAGAAAAACGCCTTCGGACTGAACTAAGAAGAGTGGTGGAAGTACAAAGATTGAATGCGCTAAAAAGTCTCCTCGCGGAAATGGGAAATGACCAGTTACTCTTTTTGTGCTTACATTACAAAGACTCGGATGGAGTTGAACATTCTGTTCCTGCTGTTTACTTGGGGAAGGCCGATTCCTTCAGTAGCTCGAAATTAATGGACTTGGTTTCTGTCGACGATTCGGTTCCTGTACCCAGCGAGTTAAGTGATGCCGATGCCGACGAAGAAGAAACTCCTGACGTGATGGAACCGTCTTATCATTTAGCATTGGGGTCGGACAATTCATGGTATCTCTTCACAGAGAAATGGATCCGAACTGTTTACAGGACTGGCTTCCCCAACGTTCCATTGGCACAAGGCGACGCTTTGCCCCGAGAAGCCATGTGGATGCTTCTGGAAAAAGAGGAGAAGCAATGGGAAAAGATAGCTGATTCTGAACTGGGGGGATTATGGTTCTCAGAAGGATCTCTGGAAACATGGTCATGGAGCTTAAACGTCCCCGTTCTAACCAGTCTGTCCGAGAACGACGAGATACTGCACAAGTCACAAGCTTACCACGATGCCGTGGTGCAGTACAAGGACCAACGTAACAAGGTGGCGAGGTTGAAGAAAAGAATATCGAGAACAGAAGGATTCAGAGAGTACAAAAAGATCCTGGAACGGAAGAACGCGACACAGGACAAGATCAAGCGTCTGAAGATGAGGTCAGCCAGGTTGTCAGAAAGGATCAGGGAGATCGAACCGTCAGGATGGAAAGAGTTCCTGAAGATATGCAACGTGGTGCACGAGCTCAGGGCATTGGACATAAACACACAGATGATCTTCCCACTGGGGGAGACTGCAGCGGTGATTCGTGGGGAGAACGAGCTGTGGCTGGCAATGGTGGTTCGGAATAGGATCCTACTGGACCTGAAGCCGTCGCAGCTGGCAGGGGTGTGTGCGAGCGTGGTCTCCGAAGGGATCAAAGTGCGCGTCCACGAGAACAGCAGCTACATCTACGAGCCCTCAAGCGTGGTGATTCGCGTGGTGGGAGCGCTGGAGGAGCAGAGGAGTCGGTTTGTGAAGATTCAGGAGAGGCACGGGGTGGGGATTTCTTGCTTCTTGGACAGCCAGTTTGCCGGGATGGTGGAGGCGTGGGCTTCTGGGTTAAGCTGGAGGGAGATGACGATGGATTGCGCCATGGACGATGGGGATCTAGCGAGGCTTTTGAGGAGGACGATCGACTTGCTGGCGCAGATTCCCAAGTTGCCTGATGTCGACCCGGCTCTGAAGAGCAATGCCAAGTCTGCTGCAGATATCATGGATCGTTCTCCCATCAGTGAACTTGCTGGATGAAAGTCTTCCTTCACAAAATTGTTCCCCCAAGTTGGGTCTTGTTCTGTTTGTCAGTGCCAAGCTTGGTCCATAAGATTCAATCCCTTGGTGGAAGATTAGATGATATCGTTAGTTTGATTTTTGAGAATCCGCATCCGATTCTTTGATCATGAATATTATCATCCGAATTAATATTTGGACTGAATCAGATCGGATTGATACAATGTTGTTCTGTCCTTGATCCTCCTAACTATTGAACCGGCTGTACTCTGCGATTTGTAATGGTACACTCGTGACAGAAGTAAGCATGGCCTAGCTGAACCGAGGCGCAACGTTAGCGTTAGAGAAAAATGAATGATAAATGAGATGAACAATACATCATGAATGTCTATCTGATGAAGGGATATCTATCTCCAGGTATTACATGATCACATTCTTCTTTACCTTCTCTATGTACAAAAACTTAAGAGAAGAAGAAAGAAAAGCATTTTGATGGCTCAAAATGCTTTGGCCTTCTAACGTACAAAAGCTATACTACATTTCAATCACGCAGCCCCATCACCTTGCCAGCTGCTGCTAGTCTGCTACTGCCTTTTCCTCTTCTAATTGGCTTTTTTATTTCGCCCTTCCCTCGACAGGGAAGAAGACCCAACGAAATTTCTGAGAAGTACGTGCATCCCTCTGCCGCCTGACTGTCGCATTCGTTTCATCCGATGCCCGCCACCAGTTGCACGTAAAACTCATCCCAAAATAAAAATGCAGTGTGTTCTGCCAGCGCCATAACGAAAAATGAGATCACTGCAACAAATATATCACCTGTTTTCTTCACCTTTTCTTGCTTTAAAAGGAAAGCTGTGCGGATAAGAAAGACAGACAGCTCGGGATGTACCTTATCAGGACGTTAAAGAAGGGGGAACCATGAGTAGAGTATCATGTACTATGACCTAGATAGCCACCTCTGGAACCGCTCTAGTCTTTCGCAGCTCTTTCCTTGATTACTGACGGATGACGAGCAGTTCTGTGGGAGGGTTCTCCTTCCTTTTCTTCTCGTCCGGAACAAATAATCTTCCGTGTCTAAGACATAAGATACCTGGAGCATTTGGGAAGATCGGGGAAATGGAAATGTATTACTACAAGGACAATACCAATTCCGTTCTAATACGAGATGATGACTAGGATATGAATTCAATGGAGAAATGCTGTTCTGCTACCTTGGAAGAACTGCAAGCAATCTTGCACTCTAAACCGTTGAAAATCTGAAATCCTTCCATGGCTTGAAATTCATCAACAACGGCATTCCTACGTCTGTTCCTGCTAAAAATTATAAAATCAAGGGGTACGATTATCAAGCATTTTGCCACAATTAAAGCACAGGAGAACAAAAGGAATAGAGTTGCCATGGCTTTACCTCTTCAAGAAAATCCCAGGCTTCTCTTTCTTCTCCGAAACAACAGAGAGGAAGTCACTCTGGAGGTACGCAGCGAAGTTTGGATCCATAGAAACTGCAGTCACCTCAGGCTTGTCATGTACAAAGTCCATCAGCTGAATGGACAACCGGGTTGGTCCCGAAGACTACAATGTGGTACCAAATAAGCCCAATAAAAATTGAATCATTAAGTTCACACGTTTAGGGGGGGAAGTACAAACTGAAGAAATAACAATTTACAAACTAAGGGATTAAAGACTCACGCATTGAACTCTATATATATTCTCGTCATGAAGGAGGACACGTGTGTTCTCATGATAAACTATGTCAACAAACCTTCCAGCTTTTCTCGACTCTTCATAAGCATATAACTGCAGTAGCTTGTTGTCCATCTCATCAGTTGCCACTGTTTGGAGCTGGGAGGAAATTGGCCAAAGGTGTGAAACTTGGAAATAACAGGAAAGGAAAAAAGGATACACAAAAAAGCCACCAATCATTTACCTGTTTGACTAGCTTATATATAAGCTTATCCAATGTAAATAAGACATATGACTGTGTCCCAATTATAGCTCGGCAGTCATCCTCAAATTTTGTGTTGTCGGAAGATCCGTCAAGAAGGTTGTAAAGTGCACTCATAAACCTGTCAAGATGCAGGCCAGATTAATAAAACACCAAAGTTTGTTTAGCTGAAAACCATAAATGAGAACTCTCTTCGGATTGGACTAACCTAGCATACAGATCGGTGGAACTTGTATCATTTGAAGCTGCTCGCCATTTCCTGTCAGCAGATGATGAGTTGATCTTCGCTGATTGTATCCTTTCATACAAAGTCTGGTGAACAACACAATAGAGTTGTTAATAAAAGTAATAAATGCATTCATGAATACACCTTATACATAAACAAAGATGGAATAATAACTTACTTGGTGAAGTCTAAAAAGCACATAAAACGAATCATTCCCATAGAAAACTCGTGAACCCTTCTCTCCATCATGCAATGCCAGAGGGACGTGCTTTGCTAGAGGTTTCACATTGAAGAGGAATCTTTCTGAAAATGGTAAAACTGTTGTTCCATCTCCCTCCACATCATGAACATCAGCCATGCCTTCGGCCTCGCCTTCACTCTCGGCTTTATTATTATTTTCATCATCGTGATCCCCATCTTCTTCTTCATGCTCTTCTTCCCTGGAGCACTCTTCACCATCACCAGACTCACTCCCGGAGACATCAGCAGCATTTTCAGAGGCATTTTCACTGTCCTCTGATGTCCTTTGAGCACTTTCCTCACCTTCATCATCAGCATCATTTTCTACTGCTGCTTCTCCATTCCGCTTTTCATCTTCTTCCCCGTTGGTTTGTCCTTGATAATGCCTGCTGCTGCTTGGAGCACCACCCTCTTTAGTATGTTTATTTGCAGCACTAACAGCCTCTGAACCAGCTTCTCCATAGACTGCGGCAAAATTATCCTCCTCAAAATCTCCTCCATTTGGAGACAACTCTCCTTCCTCTCTTTCAATTTTGAACTGAGTATTTGATTCTTCATTGTATCTGTGACCTTTACTACCCTCCGTCACAACCCCATTTGCTGATACGACTGGCCTAGGAAGCTCACAAGGCTGAAGAGGAACAAGTGCATTCCCATACGGATTTGATCAGAAACAAAAAAGAATGGTAATACACTACTACTACCAACACACCCACGATCCAGTACTATTTCCCGAACATACGGGAATTTTACCGGGTCATGCAAGTCAGTTTGTGAAGAATGCAACAGCAAACTAAAACAGTAGAGATAAGCTCAAACAACAAAAAGAACATACCTCTGTTGGTGGCAAAACTTCTTTACTGGAACCTACTGCAATCCCATCATCACTGGCGACAACATTACTTGGTTTTGAGGAAGCACCAGCAGGACCTAAAAAGCATATCTCAAATATCAGAGGCCAAGTTATCCAACTACAGAAGAAGATAATCTATAGGAGACGAAGCAAATATTTGTCAAACCTGATTCAAGATTGGCTCTTCCATTACTCAACTCCGCGACTGTAGCAAGTGAAGGACTTGAATTGGCCAACCGTTCGGCAGAAGTAGCATGCTTACCAGCCCCAGAAGACTCGTCAGCTGCAGATGGAGCAATCTGTAACTTACTATCATGCTGAAGGGTACTGCAGGAAGTATCATTTTTACAAGCAGTATGGTTGGTGGTGGCAGGAGAACCATTTTCTTTAACTCCATTATCCAACCAGACCTTGGTCGAACTTGACTGCTGCTCAGGCTGGATACGTTCTTCTCCATTTCTTGAAGGATTAACTACGTGTTTTGAGCTGCCCAAGGTAGCACCACCGCTGGGGCTTCCATCACTTTCTCCGTGCTTGAAAGAAAGAGTCTTTGCCTTCATGACATCTTCAGTGTCCTCTGCTGCACCATGAGGTCGAGAAGGAACACCAAGCATTGGTTCTAAGAAAGTGGTCCAGATCTTCATGACCTTATCCAGCTGTTCAGTTGTACAAACTTCCCCACAAGAGTACTTGATGAGCTGATACAGATCCTCATGGACATCAGGATCGGAATACTCAAATTCCAGATTAGGTACAATTGGACGCTTGTTTCCGGCAGCAAATGCTAGCAGCATGTCATCATCTTTGCGTTTGTTCTCGCTAATTTCTTTTATCTCTGCCAAAAGCGCTGTAGAGAACACCGAAGGTTAATTATTCGAACACATAAAATTATCAATCCATACTCTTTAAGACAAGTCTTCTGTTGCATTTCTGGAAAACAATAAGCCACTGATAGTATGTCAACTAAGTAGCTGACAAAATGAAAGCATGGTAGAGCTTCAGTTATTTGTTGAACATGTAGCCCATGATGCTTTCGAAGTCCATTAAATTTGTTCTTTCTTGTGCATCAAGGAATGCTAAAAGTCAGATATACTATAATTGTGGCAGGAAGGCAGAAGTCAGTAGGTCTAAATTCCAACTTCATAAAAGGAATTGATTTCTTAAAGTCCCAAGTTACAAACAGGGAACGAATTAAGCAGACGGATAATTGCTTGTTCCAGCACAAAAGGGATTTAGTTCTTAAAGTCTCAAAGGATCATATATCTCTATTAAATCCCAGCTCTTGAGCACATTATGCCAAAAAAAAAAAAAACCTTGCAGAATAATTATTTTAGTATTTTGCCCATGACTGGCACATTTTCTGAGCAACTAACCAGTCAAATCTTCTTCAATTAATGACTAGCAGGATATATGAATCAAAAGCAGGAAGGAAAAAAAGGAAGGTGAATGAGTATTATCATGTCGAATTTGGGTTCACATGATACCACACTACCACTCAAAGTATCATTAATAAGATTGTAGAAAACCTACATACTATTACCATAATTGATGATTTTGGAAAAAATTAAAAATGTGAACTAAAAAGAAGAAATTCCATCATTGCAACTCTTAAAAACAACCAAATTACCTTTGGTGCTCAAGCTCTTTGTATCCTGCTGCTTGAAATAGAAGCTCCTATGATCAAGTGACTTGTGATAGTTCTTAGAGTAGATTTCAGCCCATACTTTGTTGAAATCTGCACGACATCTAGCCCACTCTTCTTGTTTCTGCTTCAAACGAGTTAATATCACAGGCAGAGCTGGAGAAGTGTTCTTTCTTAATACGTCCATTACATCAAGCCCATGGTCGCCGTATAAACGCTCAATGCACCTCAGATTTAGAGCTAAAATAACAGAGCAAAAGCCCATAAGAGTGTAAACAAAAAGAAAACTCAACAAGATTAAGAACGACAATAGATTCCAAAAAATCATCAGGAATAACCAACCTGTTAGGTGTTTCTCTAGACAAATGGGAGCATCTTCTTTGTTTGAGTTGTTGATTTTCTCCAGCAACTCTTCGACACGCTTGGTTGTGACATTGACAGATTCCAACAACATATCCAGCTCAAACCTACAAAGAATGAAGGCCCTTAATAATCTGAAATGCTAACCAAAAGTAGAAATCACCAACTCAAAATTGGCATAAAAAGATAACAAAGTTATCAACATAGATATTGAAGACTTTTGCTGGAGAGGAAACATCTGTGAAAACATGTTTGCAAAGAAACTGCCTACTAGGATTCATGAAAATGAAACTGTATACACCTCCTTAGCATTTGTGACATGAGCTGGAAGGACCAACCTGTCATCCTCACATCGGAATAGGCTTTCTTCGTACTGGTTCTTGCGCATGTGCTTAAATGAGTAATCTTCACTCCCAGAAGTCACGGATACCCAATGGTCATTCAGAACTTCAGCGCCAATCCCTTTCTTTGCGCTTGCCACGGGAATGGGATACTGAATAGGCAAAACCAGATCGTATCAACATCTTCATATAAGGTCATATCCACAATCAAACATAATAGGTTACATACATTCTTTGGAAGAAGCCGATAACTTGGAGTGCAGCTGTCACAGTTAGACAGGTCCAGTTCGCTGACAGGTTTCCACAGAAACTTGTCCTTGCTAGAATACAAGGGCATCTTTTGAGCTCCTGTGTCCTTATTGATAAAGGCTGCATTTTTGTCAAGTCTATCTCTTTCCCGCATTTCACGGTCCCTTTCTTTGGTCACATCATCCCTCTCGAGCACACGATCTCTGTCCCTGTCCTCTGCCTTCAAAGGTCTAGGGAAATTACCTTCATTCAAAAAGTGTTGGGGAAAATTAGTCAGCAAGAACGCTACTCTAGATATATGCACCCAGCTTTACCAGACACTAGGAGACAAAACAATTGTTCCCTTCAGTAACGACCTAAAGCAAAAGCCCCCTCTTTCCAGAGAAACATTGGCAAACATGTCACAAATATCCCCCATCCCGTATTAATTCAGTTAGGTTAGAAAAGTCATCAAGTTCTTAGTCCACAAGATCAACAGAAGATTCAAATCAAGCTGTTGGGATCTTCAAGCAAACCAACAAAGTAAAAGCATCGTGTGAACATTTAGTTACACTTCGCTATGACTGAATTCAAGCATGAACATTACTAGAAGATATGATCAGCAAACAAGAACCTAAGCAGCATTTAACAAGAGGATCCTCATCAAATTTTATCAAAACTTACTTTTTCTCACAACGCCAGCAAGTAGGCCCTCTGCAAAACAGATCTCTATTAGACAATGGGCCAAACATTTTAAGGGAACATGCCACAGCAGATGCTAGAAAATTACCATTCTTTTCACAACGTGACAAAAAGTCATTGAAGCCATCCATAAGATCAGGATATCTTCCAATTAAATCTGCCACCTGACATAAGCAGAGCTTCCATGTCATGGTTTTGTTTGAAAGAAAGGTGGATTAATTGCATTCAGGGAAAAAAGGATTATAACTCCTGTAACATTAAACACATGTTGGTGAACAATATGCACATGCTGATCCTACTTGTTCTCAGCGAGTTGCCAAGTTAAGCACAAAAAACGAGTAAAAGCAGTACAGATGCAGGAATGTTTGGCTCAAATTGGACCTAAGAGAAACCATTAGACTCAGGATCAGGCAATCATAAGTTAACAAAAACCATGTCCGTTTCTAGGACTAATCTCCGTGAAGGCCCAAACACTAAATTCTCCAACTATAAAAACAAAACAGGAATCAAGGTTCTCGTAATAACGCAAAGAAGAAATAAAAGTACAAATATACTTTTCTTGATTGCTATGGATTCAGGAAGCAACAATGTAAAGAAAGCCATACCAAAGATTGTAACTCTGGTGGAGTGATGATTTCTTCTGTGTAAAGATGGAGGCACCTCAAAAATTCCTGGTAAGCATCAGGATTACGCAACTTCTCTTTCACTTTCTCACAGAAAGCAAGTTCTTGGCTCAATGCACCTGCATTGTGATAGAAAAGACATACAATTGGAAAAATCACAAGCCATCGTGAATGTTAGCTAAAATGAAGCACGAGTAAGTCCACAAAGTTCAGAAATATACAGTTTTGCACTCACTTTTAACCGCACTTTTATCATCATAATTGGATGAAATGGGATGCATTCCATAGTTATCATCCCCCATTCCAACTTGGTGCTCAGCACCAGAATCTTCCAACTTACGACCAGGTTTCCGCTTGTGAGGAAACCGTTGCATGCTATAGTCATGATTTGCATCATGCTCATAGTCTCTATCATCACGTTCTCTCTTATCTCTATCTTCTCTTCTATCTTTTTCTTTTTCAACTCGCCTCCTTTGCTCTCTATCTGCTGCTCTCACCAGAGCCCTATCATGGTCTGGATCAGGGCGATCAACACTGAAATCACGATCGGGATGAGTGCGTTCTTTCTGACAGAAAACCAAAAAGAAAAAGTAAAGGTTACTTTCATGAATGATTTGAGTCCACTAGGATGAAAAAGGAGTAAAATGAAGACAAAACCTTGTCAACATGCATTTGACGCATCGCAGGCATTGCAGAGCTCCTATCACGAAGAATGGAGTTCCTATTCGAAGAGACATAATGAGCAGAGGCTGAAGCAGAATTATCAGGTAGGAAGTGAGTAAACTCCCGAAGCAGATCGTGGTGGTCTTTAAAAAGTGTAGCCACCTGCAATAGGAGAAATCCAAAGAAAGAGAAATGACACTTGTTCTATTATATTCATCATATTATGAAAAACAATTGAGTGCCTCAAATGAACATGATATACCTCCTCGTAAACCTCCGTGATGGATTTATTATCCTTTCTGTACATGTTCAGAATATCTAAAAAAGCTTTGTAAACGTGATCGTCACCTTGAAACCTCATCTGCATAAGCATACCAGATAATGTTATCGTCTCCTGAATGACTAAGTAGACTACATATGTGCAATGGGAAACACATCTACCTTAATTTTGTTGACAAAACTAATTGCTTCTTCAAATTCCACTGGCTTCTTCTGTGGAAGTTGCTCGTCTTCCAGTGGAAGTGTGATCTCATATCCCTTAGGCAAGAAGGTATTAAAACCCAAAATCAGGTCACGATGCCCTTTGAATAAGTCCTTCACCCTTCCTATGACGCCAGCAGTGTCAATTCTATAGCAGAAAACAATAGTCAGAATCTTGATGGCCTCGCATATTAATTAAATTTAGGTCAGCAACAGCATAGAGATCTACAATCCTAATTGAGATCGGACCTTTGAGCTTTGAAATCTTTCATAACCTCAAGAAAATCATCATATTTGTCCCGTTTGTCCTGAAATATCTCCTTTACAGCCTTGAGATAAGCCAGTGCATCATTCGTGGTAAGCTTCTGTGCTGCACCTCCTGCTGCTGCTGCTGCTCCTCCACCTCCTCCTCCAGCACCCCCAGCTACTGCTGCTCCAACTCCTCCCAGCATCTGAGGGTGCCCCGAACTTCAATGCACAAAGGTTTACACACAACATAAGTAATTGAATACCCAACTTCAAATTGCATCCGAATAACATTACTGACTCAAAGACAGATTAGATGTCACATTATTCTCTCAACAAATAACACGGACCCTTCCAAATTCATGCAGTACACCGCCAGTCAGAACAATGGCTCCTGAAACCTTGATTCAACAAGATGAAACACGAAACAGAAATTTCTAACCAAGTGAAAGAAATTCAAAAAAAAGCAGCAGATGCACCTAAAACCCATCTGTAGATGGTAACCTAGAGAGCACAATCCCAGTTAGCACAACATGATCCGATGTCTCATCATCATATGATGGAAACAAACAGTAATCACCCAAGATTTGGATTGGAAAGAAAAAGTCACAGGAAGAGATAAAATTTAGTACGTTTCTCCTCTGGACGGGATCATGGGCCGTTTAAGCTGCGAGGCCATATGGACCTCATCTCTTGACCTCTTCATCGCACCCGCAAAGCACAGGCAGACGCCACCGAGAAACGAAAAGGTTCTCCCTTTCCCCTCAACAGCTACTCATAACTTCGGAAAACACCTGCAAATCCAAGCAAACCCGCTCATTACCACAAGCGAAGCAGATCTAACCCCTGCCGAACTCAAACAATCTACAATTTCATAAAACGAGATAAATTCATAATAGAACTAAAAAATTTCAACTCGCAGATCACCTCCTCAGAAAAGGAAACCCTCAGACAATCCCAAACCGAACTCACAGAACAAGTCTAGAGCACCACCAAGAGAGGCTTAAAAAAAATCGCCATTACTTGAACACAAAGTTAACACGACAGGCAATTCGAAATTTTGCAGTAAAACACCACAGCCGTAGCAAGAAGAGAGAATTGAAACGCGGAGATATCCAACAGCAGACAGTCATAGATAGAGGAAGAGAAGAGATCGCCGATTATTCAAGTCCCTCGTCCAATTTAGCCACACACCAAAAAAAAAACCCCCCGAGACGACTTCAAACTCACAAACTACAACGGCCATGGCCATAGCCGCGCATACAGAAAATGGAACCGCGCAAATGGAGATGCGCGTTTCAGCGGCAATTATCCCACAGCAACAGAAGTCTGCAGGGAATTTTACACCAGGAACAAACCTTCCGAATGAATTGAAGCAGCCCTTTGCTCTCCAATTTTCCTCTTCCTACCAAATTCCCTCTTCCTTCCCTTACTCTGTCGAATTCTTCCCTTCTGGTTTCTGATTCGTGCAATTTGGTTCTTCTTCTTCTGAGAGAGGGAGAGCGGATGCGAATGTAGAGAGTTTAGATTGTTTTTGTGAGAGAGAAAGGAAAGAGAAGAGGGAGAGGCAGATATATATCATATGCGAGGGGGAAAGAAAAGGAAGACGCGAAGGGGAAAAAGCAATACACAAACACTTCATGCAATGGAAGAGAAGAGATGTGGCGAAAACTATTTTATTTTATTTATTAATAATAAAAAGGGTGAAAACTGAAAAAGGTAAATTTGCAATTTTAATTTGACAGTGGGGACTGGGGAGATTAGAGAGAGTAGTGGCCATGAATGGACGGCCGTTTGACGCAAACATTAGGTTAGGGTTTTCACTGGCCCTAAACTATTTTTTATGTACTTATTTTACCCCGTTATTGATAGATTTATTCCTTTAGGGATAGCAGGGAAGACATGGCCATAGGCTAGTTTGCTAACTTAATGGTTAAAACTCAAAAAGAATTTTGGTGAGTAAAGAAAGGTTCGACAAATAATTTTGTATCCAGTCCACTAATCCAATCAATCATTACAATTTTCAACTAATTCAATCCATTTAATTCAAAATTAATTGAATTGGTTCATGGATTTGATTAATTGAAAGAAATTAAAATTTAGTATTCATTTTTTTTGTAGTTTATTGTTGGATACCTAAATTTTAAATTGTTAACATAAAATATCATTGGAAATTTACTTTTTGGTGCCTAATTTTTTTTTTTTTGCTATGACAATTTAGCACCTGCAAGTTTTGAAATTTACATATTGGTGCAATGTTTAGATACCACTTGGATTCATGAATTCAATCCACCAATTCATTTTATCCAATCCACCAATTCATTTTATTCAAATCCACGAATCCAATCCCTTTGCCACCACTATTAGAAAGTTATATGCATGATTGATGTGATTAGAGATGCCGAAAATACTCTTAATTCAGGATATCCATCCAAATCCAACCTGATTGGGTAGGATAAAATTCTATCAAAATAGAACACATGTTAATATGGGTAATATAACCCCAATATCATGGGTAATGGGCATTTACTCATTATCCAACCTGAACTAGCCTTGCTTATCACATATTCGTTATTTTTATTATATTTGTAGTATCTCATAAACTAGTGTTTCTTTTTTACTATTTCTCTTGGTATTGGTGATTTGTTATTTATAATTTTTCAATATTAATATATTTCTCATTAGTAACAAAATAGTTGAGAAGATAAAGAAAAAATAGATATCAATGGATACCTGAAACTCATAAGGTGTGAGCATGGTTTTATTTTCTACTCAAATATTGCACGGGTATGGATATAGATAACCTGAACTAGTTAGAGTAGAGTGATGGATAGTCAATATCTATCCCCGATCCAACCCGTTGCTATCCCCAATTGTGATGTAGTAAAATGGTAATTTCATAGTTTTTGTTTGGTCTGTCAACTTGTTGACTCATGAAAACGAAAAGTTATTTCTTGAATTCACAATACTGTACCTCGCAATCGAGCTCTCTTATTCTCCTATTGGATTGGGACTCGGTGGCGGCTGCTAAGAAGTCCTCATATAGTTTATGTGTGTAAATCACCACGCTACTGACATCAACAGCGGTGCTGGTCGTCACTCATGTCCTATTGCCTATTGCGATTGTAGTCGATACGAAGGTTTCCATAATCTCCCAGAGGGATTGCGTCCAAATCACTGAGGTTCTGAACTTTCTGCTGGGTGTCCTCTTTCTATCTCCGGTGAGTGCCCATAGTCATCAGCTCCCTCCTACTATTGGCTCAATCACTGGTAAAAATCCATTCGAAGCATGCTAATGGCAAGGAGATGGTGGGTACCGTCGCCGAAATTTGACCGTTTTTGTTTCTGATTCCTACATTAACTCTTCCTTTTGGCAGCCATTATTGCTCGTTAATGGGCTTAAAGAGGAGATAGATTCCCTCTAAAACGGTAAGTACCGTTAAAGGGGATCCTAATACTGCTATTAAATAGTGATAATGGGCTCATATCAGCCCAACGGATACAATTATGTTGTTGGGATCATGTTTATGAAACATTAAATTAGAAGGTTTTTTTCGAACCAAAAAATTTAAAGAATTTTTTAATTAATCTAGGAACAACGATTATTATAGTGTCTAAAGGCTCTCATTCGGTAACAAAAGTCTTGGCTCACATTATTGATCTTTCTGAGTGGAAAATAACGTGGACCATCCAGACTCCTTCAAAATTGAGGTTTTTCATTTTGGCAGTGTTTTCAAGTGGCTCTTCCGACAACGGTAGCGCTCACATCTCATGAAGTTAATTATCTAAGGCGATGCCCTGTTTGCTGGAGGTTCCGAGAGAGTATAGAACATGTGTTCTTTCATTGCCCCTTACCAATATGTTATGGTATTTTGTGGGATTAAGTGAGATGTTGATTTCGGCCCCAACAATGAATTTTAGTGTGTGGTGGCATCAAGTTATGCTATTAGAGCAGTCCCAAACCCATATTCTCCAACTTGTATGCCTCTTGTAGAGAATATGAAAAACAAGAAATAAAATGGTTTTTGAAAATAACGAACCTCATGTCCGTTCGCTTGCCTGCCAGTTCTCGTCTCAAGTCTATGAAGTGCTCACCTCTTTGTCGCTTGCCTCTTCTATCCATCCTCATTTTCTATGTCTTCAAGCCATCTCTAAGAGAGCCCACTCAAGATTATATGAAGATCAATTTTGATGTTGCTGTCCAAGCTTTGGTTGCTCGTCTGGCCTTGTGAATCGTGGCTTGGACAGGCATGTGTTGTTTGCCTCGGGTTTCCAGCATCAGGGGATCTCGGACCCGTACCTTGCAGAGTTCCTTGCAGCTAGGGATGCGATCTCGCTTACAACTTCTAGGAGTTTGACTTGTGTCATCATCGAGGGCGATGCAACAGTGATCATTCGTCAACTCAGCCTTGGTGCAGTGGAGGATTCTGTTGCTGGTCCTCTCTTACGAGATTGTTTGCTTTTTCTTGAGTCTGTCTTATTGTATAGATTTAGGGCGGCTCTGCGGACTGTCAACTGGGCTGCCAATAGAGTGGCACGTTAAGCTCTGTTAACTGCTTTTGACTTTGTAGGTTGGCTTGTTAGTGGGGTGGGGAGGGAATGTGGGTAGTGCTCGTTATAACTATCTTCCTAATCATACTCGGACAAAAAAAAAAAAAAAAATTCAATCAACGCTCAAATCATAAGTTTAATATTGGGTTTATAATTAACAAAAGTATAAGTAACAATAACTCGAACACAAAATTAACGATTATAACAGTGTCATGAACTATGCTTATTTTTCATAAAAAATACTTCCGCCATCAATAAAAGCCATGGCCAAACTATAGTCTTGTTGAGTTGTTTTTTTTTTGTGTGTGTGGAAAACAGAGCGCAGAGGGGCGCTCTAACCCTTAAACATTAATAAAGCGAGGGGTTTGAACCTCAATCAAATCAAAGTACAACCATTGACTAAGAGTCAGACTCGGGGTATCGAAGGTGTGGATCCCTATAGGAAGAGAATGGCCCAATGAGGCTAAGTAATCAGCAACAAAATTGCTCTCACGATAAACATGGGTAAGCTGGATCTCCCAATCTAATTGAAGCATTTGTCTCATCGTCACAATGAGCGTGCCATGGGGGCTTCACATTGGGGCTGAATGAATTAACTGGATTGGTGTCATTGAGTCAGTCTACAAGACTATCTTCCTTACTCCCTCCTCCCATGCCATCCGAAGAACCCTAAACGATAATGTTAGCTCTGCGTGAGTGATAGAACTGCCTCCGAGGTTAACTGCAAAGGCCTCCAGAAAATGTATGTCGCTTCCTTGGAGAATTCCCCCATCGCAGTTCCCCCATGAGCCCCAAAAACTTATATGTCTGTGTTTAAACAGGACCCGTCACTCGGTGGTTTCTGCCAACTCACCATTTGCATATTGCATGCCATCCCTGCAGTAATGATCATCGATTGTCTGGACAAGGTCATCTCCACCTGCTGCTAAAGGAGCTGAACATGCTTGACCAGCTGGGCGGGCTGGGTTGTCTTCTTCTCAAACACCCACAAGTTCTTATTGTGCCAAAGTTTCCAGCAAAGAAGAGCTAACAGAGAGGGATGGTTGTTGCTGCTCCTACCTGCCAAGTAGAACAACGCCCACTTGTTGACATCATCTTCAAAGAACGCATCATCTTATTCATCCAATAGAACTTCCGAACAGGCATCTCAGGCAAAGGGGCAATCCCTGACCACACGAATTGGTGTTTCCGGCCCAAACCCACACACTGGGCAATCATCGGACTGAGATAGGTGCCTGCGACATCTCTCTTTATTCGTGAGCAGTCGTTGGTGGAGGAATAGCCAAAAAAACGTCCTTGTGCATTGCGGCCCCAGATACGCCATGTAGCTTTCCACATGTGATTTTTACCCCCTTACTCTTCACCGCCATGAGTCAGTGGGAAGACAGATTTAACAGAAAAGACACCAGATGGTGATAACGCCAAACCAGTGTATCAACTTCGGTTCCCTGTGGGACAGGATGAAGTTGTACCTGGAGAGCAATCTCCTCTGACAGGAATGCTCTTATGAAGTCCAAATTCTAGCTGCTATTGAGAACCAATTGCGCAACAAATAATGTCAACGCTTACTCGGGTAAATTCATAGCATAGTGTCCCAAAGGTGGCTCGTCTTGGAGCCAAACATTGGACCAAGGGGGACAACACAGAGGGATGGTGATCCTAATTTTGGCTTCAGATCGTCTTGTACGACGGGGCCAATGCAGCTCGACCAAGACAGAGGGCTGTTCGGAACTAGGGATTTGACATTTTGATTTCCAGAATCAATGTTGCAGGAAGACGGTAGATTTTAGTGCAGGCAGAAGGTACAAATAGGGGTGGGCAACGGATAACGGGTATTTGGGTATACCCGTACCCGTCCCGTTTTTAAGGGTTACGGGTACCCATAATACCCGTAATATTATTCATGGATGGGACTTGGGATTGTATATTTCTACAATGGGTACCCGCGGTTTTCCCGCAAATACCCATTTGGGTAATATGGGTACCCGTTAAACTCGTTCATTATACAAAAGCTGAAACTGAAACGCACACAACCCGTTTCATTATACAATTATCTTCATTCAGGTCAGGTCCAGCCCAAGCCCAGCTATAACATTTTCGCCCTTTCCCTAATTCACTTGTTGACAGCACAAACGAGTGAAACTCATCTCCAGCTCTCCAGTCTCCTCGATCGTCCTCGATAGACCGGCGCACCACGTGCAGCCAGCGCCCAGCAGCTCGCCTCGACACCTCTAACCAAAATCAATTGTTCTCTCAGCTCAACTCTCCAATCGCCGCTCCAATAAGAATCTTCGTAGCCCAGCCAACGTTCCACCCAGCCAAGACAATCATAATTCTCATCTCGGCTCAACTCTCCAATCGGCACTCTGGTCATTCCACCCAGCCGTCAGCAGCCTGCAGCCCAGCCTCTGTCGACCTTCACACTCTGTCCATCCCACCCAGCCGTCATTCTCTGTCTATTTCCAGGTGATTAGTAACTTGTTATCTATTGTGCTAGTTTCATGAGGATATTCGACGAGGTTTCTTTCATATATTATGATTGTTGAATGAACAAGGTTATGTTAACTTGTGGGCAAGAACCTACTTTGATTTTGTGTTAGTTTCTTGTACAGGGCAAGGATTTTTACGCATGGGCAAGAACCTACTTTGATTTTGGTTTGGCAGATTGCATTTGTAGAACACCCAGTAGCGTGCCAGTTGGAATTGGAAGTGGCAAATTGCACTTGCAATTTGGGTATTTATGGGTAGTACGGGTACCCGTTATCCATCCCGTACGGGTAACGGGTACCCGTTTACCATATGGGTTTGGGACATGGGATGGACTTTGGTCTTCAAATGGGACTGGGTACCCGTTTCAAACGGGACGGGTATCCCGTCCCGTCCCGTTGCCCACCCCTAGGTATAAACTCGAGATTGGATCGGTGGCGTTAAGTTGGCCGAATAGTTTTTTCTATTCACAGGGAGACGAAGCGCCAAATTGAGGAAGACAAACTCTGTTTTTCCTTTTCGTTCCATATTTCTTTTTGCTCGACGAGAAAAACAAATGCATTTAAAAATTAAAACTTATAGATGATTGGAAGAAAAGAAAAGCTAAACGGATGGGAAGTGGGAAGACGGAATCAATGCATCTCCGTCACTTTGGTTAAAATAGGTTTGGGGATATATTTCAGGGGAGTGGGTTTGAGCTGAAATTACATAATTCAGCTCATGACACATCTGCTTCACGTGGCCCAAGCATATTTAGCGTCACCGGTGCCACACTTTTTACAACGCCACCGTAGTATTGGCCTTACTTTTGTGGCTATCTACATCCAACCTGCACCAACTCGCAGTGGGTAGTGGTTAACTACTACCCACTGCGGTGCAGGCTGTGGGTAGCATAATTCAATCTTTGTGGGTGTGGTTAACCGCAAAATGTGGGACGGGTAACCAATTTTTACCCCTAGATCGAGGTAGTGGGTCGGCCCTAATCAATCAACACACTACTTCTTTAAAAGCTACAGTTTGGTCCTTTTAATAATAAAATATAATCATACAAATAATTTAACTACACTTCTACATTATTAACATAATATAATAATTATAAGAAATACACTAACACAATACAAACATAACTCATAATCTAAATACAAATTACAAACAATCAAACGTTTTTCTTTTGTTATTTTAAAATTTGTACATTATCCTTTTAATAATGAAATATCATCATACAAATAATTTAACTACACGTCTACATTGTTAACATAAAATAAAAATTATAAGAAATACACCAACGCAATACAACACCTATATTGTGAACTTATAATCTAAATACAAATTACAAACAATCAAACATTTTTTTATTTTTTATTTTGAAATTTTGTACATTCCTAAAAAAAATTGTACATTGTCCTTTTAATCATACAGATAATTTAACTACTCTTCTATATTATTAACATAAAATAATAATTATAAGAAATAACATCAACATAATATAGCATCTATTATGAACTCATAATCTAAATCCAAATTACAAACAATCAAACGTTTCCATCTATTTAGTGAATCCCAACTATCAAGACATCAAACACAAGTACCACAAGATCATCATCATTCACAAACATCAAATAAACAAAGACTACTAGGTTGCAAAGTTCGCTCTATCGACTGCAAAGGGGAGTCAAGAGAGCAGTAGTTTTTGTGTTCTGACTCTTAAACATAGCTGAAACTTTGGGTGGAGGATTTCTACAATAGGTGTGAAGTGAGATTGTTTGAAATTGCGACTTTTGTTGGTTTTGAATTTTAAAAACTTTCCCCCTTGAAGTCAAAAACTATTTAGTTAAAACAATAAGTAGTTATTGGTTTACTTATCGATTAATCACTAATCAATTAAACGATTGGCGGTTAACCACTAAGCAAATATAGCTAACCAAAACCGAATCACTACTAAATTATCGATTAATTACTACCATCGTTATCAGTTTGATTAATGGTTAAAACTTAAAAGCAATAACTACCCATTTACCATTCCTATTTGTACCATACTGTAGAAATTCAGTTTTTCACCATATACTTTGGTTTTTTTGGTAAACCGATGCTTGCAGAATTCCTCCAATAATAAACAGATAGGTTGCAACTTCAGTATTTTATTCAACGACGATGAAACGAAACGCCAATCCAAAACATTCCAAAGTTCCTCTCAAAAACAGAAGAAAAACTACCCTCTTCTCAACCTCTAATAGTATCCGCACAAACTTTCTTTCTCTTCATGGAGCTTCTGTGATATGACAACTACTGGCGAATAGCTCAGCTAGCTCTCCGGCAAAAATTTAACAAAGTCCTCAAGTAGGTCGCTGTGGTCTTTGAAAAGTTCAGCCACCTGCAACAAAAGAACAACAAGAATGAAAAAAAAATGGACAGAATTTTAAGCCATTCTGATGCCACATTGGTCATGCTATTGCTAGGAACACATGATCCCAACAACGCCTCAAACTTCAACAACTTAGCAAGAGTTGAACATGATGGTTAATTAGTATATACCCGTAGATAAACCTCTGCTATGGGTAGACGCCCACTCCGAAACCTCATCAAGACATCCATAAACGAATCGTAAACTCGAGCATCACCTTGAAACCTCCTCTGCTTAAAAACATTCAACATAAGCCTACATAGCTCTTTCACAGTACAATGTAGACCACGTAACATACGTAGGTAACAGGGATGGATGGGTTAGCACAACACATCGATCTACCTTAATTTTGCTGATGAAGGTGATGGCGTCTTCAAAGTCAACTGGTTTCTTCCGTGGAGGAGGAGGTTTTTTAGCATCGCCAACTGCGAGGCTGATCTTATATCCCTCAGGCAGGAAGGTATTGAACCCCAAAATCAGGTCAGGATGCCCTCTAAATAGCTGCTTCACCCTTGCAATGACACTGGTAGTGTCAATTCTGCAGTGAAAAAGGGACACAAGGGGGGACAATATGCAATGGTAATCAGGCAATCTTTCTAGCTAGCTTCTCATATTTGTCATTAACATCTAAAGAACCAAACATAATATATAGGGGGGACTAAAAAACCCCTCACCTCATAGCTCTATAATCCTTCAAAACCTCGAGAAAGTCCTCGTGCGTTTGGGGTTCGTCCCGAAATGTCTGCTTTACAGCGTCGAGATAACCCAATGCATCCTTCTCAGAAGTAGGCATTCTTGTGCCCCCTTCTACTTCCCCTGATATAACTGTGGCTAAGAGTTGCACACAATGTTAATTAGTCGACAATCCCATTTCGAAACTGCATTTAAACAACTAAGTAAGAAGCAATCATTCCATCTAGCTAATTTCTCCCAAAACATGGCCAAAATCATGAAGTGGTTCATCCAGCGTGCTACTTCAAACATTCTTTACTCCATTGCTACAGATAGAATAACACATTTCAAACCCTAATGAAGGGAACTCGGACACTTTTCAAAGCAACAGATAAATTACAATTTACAAGCACAACAAGCTACTATCACATTAGACGGAACAAGCAAAAATCGACATAAGCTTTCGACAAAAAGGTAAAGCTTTCAGAAACATCACTACCCAACTCATAAATCTGGTCATTCAAGCTATAGGGAGTCAAAACAATCTCCCGAATTGCAGAACAATCAAAGAGGTGTCATTGTCATCAAATATTCTCAATCACAGATCACCATCACCACCACTGAGAAATAAGTAAACCATTCGACAATCCGAAACCCAACTGATCATAGACAAAGTCCATGGCATCAGAAAAACCAATACAGCCATTACTTGGACGCAAAGCAAACATAGTGCAATCAAACAATTCTGAATTTCCATTAACAAAGCAAACAACAGCATGGGAAAAAGGGCTTAAAGCGCCGATGATGATGATGTATAGATCGATATCGAACATCACGCAGGCATACGGAGAGGAAAGGAAGAGACGATCCTCCATTTTCCAGACCACTTCACAATTAAACAAGAGATTATAAAACAAAGGTGAACAACTTCCACCCTCAGGCTTCACAACTTGCAAAATGGCCATGGATCAAAGGGGAAAAGGAAGGTGCATGCAGAAATGGATTACCAAAGGACAGAGGAATTCAGACACAGGGGACGTACCTTTCAACCGGAGAAGAAGATTTGAAGTAAGCAGAGAGGCTTCTCTGTACGAGGAATGCAGACAGTACAGTATTTAAAGGCAGGGGAAACTAAAACGGCAGAAGGCAGATTTTACGGTGGAGTATGTAGATAGATTCACGCTCCTGGCCGTAATATGTAAATGTTGGATAGTTGGACGGGCTTTCCCGGTAACTTCACGCGCCGATTACCGGCTGTTGCCTATATGCACAGTACCAACCCACTCGACTCGTCATAATCATATCCCGGTGATGCAGAAAACTAGGGTTTTTAACTGGGCCGGATATTTTAAATTGCTGTGCCAAGCCCTGAAATGAAAGGGGTGAGTTTCAAATTTGACCCAACCCAAGTTGGTGGTGGTTTTTTATCGGTGAAGAAGGGGTAAATTGCAAGGTTGGTAACTGAAAGTGATAAAATATTTACGTTTGGTCATTAAAAGAACTTTATTCCATTCGTGGTCACTGAAAGTGTTTAACATTTCACGATTGGTCACTCTTCGTTAATCTTCGTCCGTCTCTGTTAACAAAGTCTGTTATCTGCTGACGTGGCTAACAGTGTCGCCCAATCAGCTTAATTTAACCCCCAAAAAAGAGACCCGACCCGCCATGTCAGATTAGCCTAACCCAACACATAACACGGCCAGACCTTAGAACAAACATATCAAATTAAAATTGAGAGACCATCTATTTCAATCCAACTTCTTCCTCCCCGAACTCTTCCTCTTCCCTTCTATGCTAATTTCTTTCGATACTAGGGAGTTGAGGAGCACTCTCATTCTCAATCCCACAAAATATGCCAGCCGCTGGCGTGTTCACTTGCTGTTGCAAGGAGCTAAGGAACGGGTTCCCGGATCACCTGTGCGCGGACTTACCAGAATCGGGACTGATGTTGGTGAAGGGCGGCGGAAATCTGCCCAAAGGGGTGAACCTGAGGGAGGCAATCCGGAGTGCGATTGAGGATTCAAACTTTTCCGTCGCGATCCTCAGCCGCGAATTCGCTTCCTCAGAGTCCCACCTCGATGAGCTTTTTCTTTGGTTGCAGATTGAACAACCCAGATCCAATCTCCTCGGTGGCAGCGAGGCTCTACTTCCGACTAAATCGAGGAGGATGACCTTGAGAGCTCGTCGACTTCGACCACTCCATCGAGCTAGCTCCCTCCGCAAACTCATTGTAAATCCTAGGCACAGAAGCTCCCCATGGCGAGGTCCTACTCCACAATCTAAGCAACCATCGTCGGGTCTCCGTAGAGGCGGACCGTCTGAATTCGGGAAGGATGGGTTAGATAGAGAGCATGGTGGGAGAGTATGATTATGATTCCCATATTGGCTAGGGATTTGATGATGATTGGGTCAGCTCTGTAGAGGCAAACTGTCTGAATCTACAATGGTTGTAGACAGCCAGTGGAAGAAGATGAAGAGACGTGTCAATAGTGGAAGAAGAGGTTAGGTTAGGTTGGGTCGGGTCGGGTTGGGTTTGATGACGTGGCTGGTCGGGGTTCTGGATTTTTTTGGGTTAAAATTGGGTGACTAGACTTTCCTGTTAGCCACATCAGCAGATAACAGACTCTGTTAACGACAATGAATGGAGAATAACGGAGAGTGACTAATCGTGAAACGTTAAGCACTTCTAGTGACTATGAATGGAATAAAATTCTTTAAGTGACCAAACGTGAATACTTTAGCACTTTCAGTGACCAATCTTGCAATTTACCCGGTGAAGAAGAATGAGTTTTAATTTATCGTTGGGATCTTCAATTTTGTATGTCACTACTTTATAGTTCAATTTCAATGATTGGTATGTTATTTGAATATGACAAATTTATAATGTGTATATTAATTTTTCAAATTATTTTAGATGTTTAGTTTGTGTGATATTAAGGTATATCAAAATTATTTTTCAACTTTTGAAATCATAGTAACTTTTCATCAAAGGTCAAATGTGATTTTCTTAATGATAATAATACTCGTGAATAATCATTCATGACTTGTCTATTTAATTATACATTCACTTAGTTATATATGGTTTAAAAGAAACTGGCATAACAAAAAAAAATTGTCTTACAAAGCGTATAAGAGGATCCACAATTTGCGTCTTTTTACTCTATTTCATTGTGACATGGCAACTTTCATTTTTCATTTCATTATTGTGGTTTGCTATTTCATTTTTTTTAAATATTTCATTAATACTCTGTTTTCGAGGGAGAGGAGGATAAATTATGAGGGGAATGAAAATTTGGGTGGAGGGAAATGGTAAGAAAAATGTTATTTTATGAGGGAAAATAAAGAAAAAAGTGGGAAGAAAAAGGTAAATTGATAAATGTGATAGATATGTCATTTAATTGATTATGGAAGAGTAAATAAAAAACTTCTACATAACCTCGATGATAAAAAAAATTATTATTTTTTAAAAGAACATATCTCGTTCACTTTTACTCGATTTAAAATTTTCCCTAAAAAATTGGATTACCTTTGCGGTACAAATTGACATCCATTTATAAAAATTTCACATTTTTATGTCATTTTACTTGAAACTTAACACACTTATACTTCTCACATAATAGATTTACGTATCGCACAAAATGTGTGATGTAAATCAGTGTTGTGTTCGATTCATGGCTACATAGAACGTAGAAATGACAAGACTTTTAACCGCAAAATATGGCTTATCCATAACCTCAACCGAATAAAAGACATAACCACAAATTATGCAGTTTCGGTGCGAGCGATTTACTTGCAAAACCGCTATCAGATTCCACCACTAATCGAGTTTCTAACCAGGAAATAAATTTGTTATACGAGATTTGGCTACACACCCCTGATTATCTCTTGCTACATTTATGTTTAGTAATAAATAATGATTCATCATTTATGAAAAAAAATAAAACATATCAACATTTTGGAAAGAGGAAACACAAATACAGAAAAAATAATTCATAAAAAAAATAAGAAAGAACAAGTAAGGAAATAAAGAGGGATATGGGTACTATATTTTTGGAAAGAGGAACCACAATTAGAGAAAAAAATAATAAAAAGGAAAAAGAAAGGATTATAGACATGCACTTTTATTTTTTCTCCAATTTGAGGGACGAATGATACAATAGTTTCATCTTTTTTCTTTCCCTCGTTACTATTTAATGCTTAAAAAATGTTTGTTGAAATCCAAATTTTCCACAAGAATTTTTTGTTTCCTCCATTTTCTTTTTAAAAAACAAAGAATAAGTGAAAGTCAATATGGAAGCGCAAACTTGAGTCCACTTCTAAAATTCACTATCTTCATTTTATGTGTAATGGGTTGAATAAATAAGTATTTAGTTGAGAATGAGTTAGGGTGAATACTAATTTTTGGTAGTCATGATGACAATAAACATCTCTATCTTCTGTTTTCCTCTACCTTATCTATTAATTTGAAGATCAAATTAGTCTGAGGCAATTTGGAAAACGAAAAATCACATGTGATTATTACTTTTTTTTTGTGGAAGCGATTATTGTTCTTTAAATTATAAATTTATATATATATATATATATATATATATATCTATCTCCACAAATACGAACAGATCATCCACTCTCTTCTCGTCTCTTCTTCCATCGCTGATATGGTTGTGTCTTCATCCTCTGCCCTAAGTTCTTTACCTCCAATGCAGACGGCTTTGCTTCTCCTAGAGTGTCACTCTAATCTTCCGACAATCACCACTAGGCAAAACCGCGTTGATTCTACTCCTCCATACGATTCAAACTCTGTTGGTGTTCATGAAATGTCTCTCTATCGGATATCGTCATCGCTCATCTAGAAGTCAAAGACACCCGGGTATGTACCCACGACCCTGCTCCCGCTGTACGCTTCCGCTGCATTACCGTGGGCATCCTTCGGCTTTTCCCGCAATCCTGCTGAACAAATATAATGGTGCTTGAATGTGCACAGATGTCTTCAATTTATCCATTTTCTCATTCTCGCATGCGTTTTATTCTTAATTAAGTGCCAAGAACATAAAAATATTTATAGGTCGTGCCCGAGTCTGTAATAATTCGTTTTTCACTACTCTTAATGGTTGTCATTGATGATGTGTTTGGACTTTGGATGGTATGATGAATGGTTTTAATTTGTGCTTGTCTATGTGGTGGTTATTATTATATTTTCAACTTTTTTACTAAGATCAAGTGTACTTGGAGGGTATTCTTTTCTTCTCTGTTGAGTTTTTTGTCATTATTTTTCAGGTGTATGGAGTCATCCTTGGACCCTTTGGCGTATTCAAGGTTTTCTTCTTCTATTTACTTAAGCCGACTGACAGGGCGACAAAGACAGCTGGCTGGAGGA